AATCTCTCGATGTAATTGATGAAATTTCTGTCTAATATTCCATTTCATTGGTTGCGCTGCACTCATAAGTAGCAGCAATGAATAGAAAAAGTCTGTACGAAATTTAGAATGACTCTCGAATGGGCGTCGTTTGTGTAATAACACACCGACGAAAGGGTTTTAACGCATTTTACGTGTAGCTTCGCCACGCCTGCAAACGACACAATGTTGTTCTGTATTATATGTATTTGTGCATCGTCAACTCAAATTGCCCTAATAATTATCATCCTCGTATTTCTTTCTGAGCCTTCGCTTTCACGCACGCATATTCACGTTTTCATTCTTGATTCGAAACGTCACCACGTATCAACAAAAGTTTCAGCTGTTATGCAGACGACGCGTCGCCTCGTTATTACGGTTATTGCATTGAAAAGCAAATTGCAACGATAAAGACGCAAATGTATTATATCACCTTTGTATCTGAGTAGGACAACCACATATATACATTTGTAGATAATTCAACAAATCATCTAACGCTTAATGTCGTATGTTTTCTTGCAATGTGATTATTGTTGTCTAACTGTTTCAACTTTTTTTATTGAAAAATTTAATGAGACAAAATTTATTTCATGAAAAATCTGATTGTATGCATTTGAACGTCTATTTGATTGGTAAAAGCGATAGAAAAAAGCGGGAGATTGACGAGAGAGCTTGTAAATACAAGTTCGTATTACAGCAATAGGCAGCGACAACAAAGAATGAAATAAAAGAAATTCACAGATAACCATCGAGAATTGGGTGCACGTGAGTACGTTTGTAAGTGCGAAAGGGTCGTATTAATAATCCGTCGTGTATGTATACATGCGCATGTAAAATAAGCAGTTTCAAAAACTCCATCGCAACTTATACAATCATTTGTCGATCCCTAAGTAGAGGAACTTTTCTCTCAACACAAACTTTGGAATTTATTTGATCAAAGTTTCAGATCGCTTGGGTTGTGAATTTTTATTTCCTCCTAGTACAAAAATAAAATTCGAGCTCTTAACGACGAACCACCACAGCTAACTCGTACGCACCTTTTGTGCATAAATGTAAGTAAAATAGCAAGGAGACCTATAATTAATAAACCAATTTAATGAGAAGTGAGCCTCGTATTTTTTTTCATTTCATAACGGTTGGAGTTGGAAACGATGGTAGCCTTGTAGAACGAAACTATACATCAGTGTCGTTGGAATGTTGCATATGTGTATGCCGCACAGCGCAGATTGCAACATTTACGTTCTATATATGTGTATGTGTGTATGAGTTTATTATATACATACACACACAGAAGCGCAGATCGACTTCCGCTAATGTTTTCGCGCGCTCGCGATAAATTATTTTATGATTGTGCTCAAGTAGAGCTGAACATAGATGTCATTACATTTTTAATTTTACTGTAAAATTTTATGAACGGCGCGTTTGGTCGTTACCATCATCTCATTCATAAAAAATCACAAAATCAATTGGTCTGATGCAGAATGAATATTTTTACGGTAGTGACACCATCTCCGTAGGATATAATTCATCGCTTAGCATAATTGATACTGGAATTATTACCGATTCACATGAATTTTAGTGAATCGCGTGGTTTAAGAAACGTACACGGAGTATTCCTTGGCGCATAATCAGCGCGTTAACATTAGAACACTCATAAACGATGAAATCGAAGTGGAAAATTTAGCTATATTCAGAGAAGATGGGTAATTTTTCGTTTAGCTACGGTCTTGAAGAAAATTGCAGCGTGTAACGTAACGTAAAATTATCACGCTTCTTGAAAAATAATTTAGAATACGAATTACGTATCGCAATCAGCAGCCATAAACGTCGATCAGTCGAGTGAATATTGAACCAAACGAAACAATCGAATTCTTATCTAGAGAGTTCATTATTGAGTGTTGCAGCGCTCGTCGATCCGAATAAATCGCAAACAACACGAGTCGGATTCTTTAACCGTTTCTAGCTTCTCAATTCCATCTGCTGGAAAGTAGCTCGATCAACGTGTCTTAGAACTATCTTCTTTTTCTCCCTTTCTCTTTCTCGCACTCGTATTTATCTATCAATGATACATCACGCGATGCAAATACAAATCCTGTTCCATGAAAATTGCCGGTGTGCTGCATCGTCTGGTTGTATGATTGCAACAGCATCAACAAGGAAAAAAAGAGGCAAGGATTTGATCGGAAGAGATTCTATGCGGTCCATTAAGCTTGAATACTTTTGCTCGGTATAGATACTCGCGAGAGCATGCACGAGATAGGTTCATCATCGCAGCGAATTGCCCGAGTGGTGCGCGTTTCTCAGCGTGAGAGGAAGCGCCAGCAAAGTGCCTACTTCGTACCGATTGTTATTGTTACTGCGTACACATGCGCCAGTTCAGATCCGTGTGCTATGAGGATTTTTCCTTGCATGATTATCACGTTTCGCTTGTGTGTTTGCTCTTGCGCTGTTGCAGTGAGCGCCAGTCAAGGCGAACCAACTATACAGTCTTGTCTGGATGGTGCAGTATTGTCCGGGGGCAACTATGAGCTGCTCAAGACTCTTAAGTAATTTAATTTACTCGATACCATTCAACGATATGTTTAAGACACTAAAATTGAAAGCCTTCAAAGTATAATATTCAATTGTCAATGAGAAATCATTTTCAAAACTACCGGCTAATAAGTTAATTTCGGTACATAAGTGCAAGCTAAAGTGGAATAAAAATGTTTGGTGTATCAATGCAACATTTCGTTGCAAGCAGCTGCTCCCGAGGACTTGAAATTTACTCTTGAAAGATTCCAAGCTCTCCCATTAACTTTGAAATGGAGATACGCAAAGAAAGAGTCGCGGAATGAATCAAAGCGCACGGGCACATTTGAAGATAAAATTTAAAGGGTCGAACTTTGCTTGTCCAAGTGTGTGTAAAGTCGCATTATGTGGAGTAATTTATCACACGCACTCTTGGCAATGGATCGAGTCAACCCAGACGCAGCGAGGGTGTCAATTGCGGCGTCTTATAACGGTTTTCTATTGAATACGCACTTCATCGGTTCGTTGCAGTGCCACTCTAGTCCTCGAAGAATTTATATTGTCCGCACAGCCGCACTTGTTAACTGACCGCAGCTTAACTTATTTTACATTGTTTCGTCGCTTTCCTTTAAATGGTTCACGTTGCAGTACGCGTTCCGCACGCGCCCGTGATCGCATTGTGTTGTGTTTTTTTTTTTTTTTAATGAAGATAGGAAGCTGTGGCGCGTTATCTCGTCGATGCTCGATTGTTCAGTGCTCGATAAAAGAAGATATTGAAATATCATTTTTCACTCTGTGCTGCTATGGGAAAAATACTTTTTCATCGGCGCGCGCCATCGTCAAAAAGTGCAGTTACTTCTGGCGCGCGCTAACAATGCCTATATCACGCCTGCGAGTATATTTATGCATACATGCATATTATACTCTTCTTTTTAAATAGCCGAGCTTCACAAAAGCCAGTGGCCTAGCTATTAAGAACTATGTGCATATGAAAAACTCAAAAAATGTTTAACCCAGCTGCTACTGGTCTGGGTATTATATAAAATTCACAAAAGACGCCCTGCCTAACAGCGAAAGAAAGAGAGAAGCTGTACAAGCTACTTTTCCTCGTATTGTTTCGAGGAAAGAACTGCCAAGTGTAGCAGCTTCGCGATACAGACTGAAGAAGAGAAATGTGTTCGTGTGTCATGCGTGCTGCGAACAGCGATTGAAAGTAGGAGCGGGTTTGAGTGCCGTACACTAGGTCTATAGGGGTACACGTACGTACACATGCTGGTGTTATAAAATAGGGGAAGAATGTGCGTATCGAGAGATTTCTGAGGGTTCGTGCACGCGTCACTGATTTTCGGATGCGCCACCTTTTCCTTTGCAACGGTACCAGCAGAAAATAAGGAAAATAACGATATGGATAGGGGTATGAAAATGTTTTTGTGCTAGAGAAAACATTACATATTCGTTGAAATTCTAAAAACTTTGGTACAAATAGTTTCTCTTCAAGTTAGACAAAAATGAAGTTTCAACGACGGGTGTGTTTTCAACGATGTTGCAGTGATGCTTCATCAAGACCATAAACTCTCTATAGCTAAAGATTTATAAATGTTAAACCTTGATAACTCAACGATACCGACACTCGAATTGATTTTTTTAAATTTTAAATACTCATAAGATATTTTACTGAAAAATAAACTAATATCTTCCCTCTTGGCTTGTCACCTATAAAGCGGTATATATTCGGTCGCGTAAAATCTCAGATGATGAAAAAGGAGCATATAGAAATTCTCCTATATTGACACCGAAGAGAAACGAAGTCACGCTTGATAAAAGACTGCGGCTATTGGGGACTTTCTTATATGCGTCGTACAACCATAACCCGCCGAATATTTGGGGACTCTGCTCAACTGTGGAATTGAGTATTTTACTCGAGCGCATACTCAAATTGTACAATAGCTCAGGTTCATTCTCTTTAAGAAATGTACGATTTGTAGATTTTTTTTGGCGCATTTTGAAAAAATAAATTCTACTTTTCTCAACTGCTTCGCGATCGAGACGAAGGAATTCGGCTTGTTATTTTTTTTCATTCGCTGACAATGCAGCAATATTTCGATCACTTTGTCCTCAAGATATTTTTCCCAAGCTTCGTTATATCACGGCAATGTATCATTGAAAAATGAGAAGGTGTTGAGAAAATCTTGAATAAAATGACGCGTAACAAAAGTCTTGGTGACATAGCACGCGTAAGCGCGTGAAAAGCATACCGCTATCGCGATCTGGTGCACGATTTGAGCACGCGATCACAGTAGACCTCGCGACGATCAGGAGAATAGAAACTTCCATCTCATTTTTAGATTCGTAAAAACGATACATTGTGTTGCTGTAACGTCGTCGTAGCCGGGTTGGCATTATGAAAAGACGCGTAGCGCAGCAAATTCCCAAGGCACGTATTCATATGTTTTTGCTTTTACCTGTTTCAGATACTTCATACGAAAAAGCATGCAGACGAGGAAGTGCTCCAGCCACCCCCGTGCTTGGAGCGCGGCCACTCGACGTTACCCCCAATCGCATTGTCGTAAGTACACCTTGAGTCGCGAGCTGCATGATGACGTGAACGTTATGCGCGTTTCGAATTCCTCCCTGCATTCTCATTCTCGTGTGCATACATTGTATGGTATTTTACAAATTTTAAAAATCTTATGATTATACGAAAAAGCAAATGCACGCGAGCTCTACATTCTTGAACGATTTGAGAGCCACGAGCTAAAAGTGTTTTCTTGCTTTACCTTCAAGCATTGGCAATTATTCACAAAATTGAGCTAAGAGAAAGAACGTGACGCGACGCAATGCGCACAATAAGGAAAACGTCCTTTTCGCTATTTGCAGAATAATCCCTAGCGCATCAATCCTATGGAGCTGACTCCTCTCAACGCGTACCTATAGTACATATACCATCCTGCGCCCGCTTTGTGTGTTATTACTTGCTGCGTTTCACCTGGTTCCCGCCACTTTTTCTTATTTCTTTAGCGTAATCATTACCGAAGGGTCTTGGAACAGCTGAATCTTACTTGTAAGAACCGCAAAATTGAGTGTGTCACGCAAACAGATACTCGTAACGTTTAAAGGGCGGATATTGCAAGTGACGAATTTTTTTTTTAAAAATGAGGAATCGTTGTAAAAGCGTCGCAATTTTTGCATGAGTTTTTCTTGGCGGAAGTATCGGATCGCAATTCGTGCCTGATTTCTCATGAATGCAATAACCCTTTGCTTGAACAATGCAATGTTTGTATCATCTTCCTTGAGATATGTGGTGAAAGCTCATAGCTTAAAAGTACGTCAGCAAATGCTTGACCGGATATTTAAATAACAATTCATTTCAGTATCATCATTATTATCAATTAAATGTGGTGAGATATGTATTATGGTGATCAATATGTGCACGTATTTATAAGTCTGAATTTATGCAACCCTCGGCGTACACGACGTAAGCAGGAGTTGCATAAAGAGTTGATAACCGGTTCTTAAAAATTTTCTATTTATTTGGAGCACGCCGAAGGGTAGATGAGCCTAACTGTGCAGATACATGGGCGTAGGATTTCATATTTCATTTTGTACTCTCGTAACGAAGTATCGTTCAATTAAAACGGCTAAGCCGACTAATTATAAACTCATAACCCAATTATCGCATGTATGCCATCGTAACTAAACACAAACAAGATTGTTATCCGGAGCCATCCTATTTGCAGCTAAAAAATGTTCACCCTTAATTATCAATTACGCCGATAAAGATCCGCAAAAGGCTCAAATATGTCGTTATGTTACTTGGCCTACTCGTTTTACATCATTGTCAGGTCCATTATCGTTGCGAACAATGCATTTTATTAATGATCTTCGAGCGAATGAATAAAATAGTAAAGCCCCCGAGTAGAACAGTTTGATATTCAGCCGAGTCTAAAAATTCAGCTTCTTTTTTTCAAGTTTTGCTTTTCATTACGCAAATAGAAGTGTGAAGGGTTAAATGGTTTCGGAAAAATAGCTAATTATGTAGGAAAATAATGTGTTTTCGGCGCATTATTGACAGCGACTTTTTCCGACTGGTTCTTAACTTAATATTTTTCATATCTCTGAATGTGGTTTTATACATGATTACGACATTGCGTTATCGATCCGTTGCAGTAAAATAAAAAAATTAACATTGAATGGAATAGCAAAGCAATGCGACGGCACCTATTTCAGTCAAACCTTTAATAAGTTGAACGACCTCTCGCATGAAGCACGGCGCAATCTGCTATGTATGAGCAATCATTTGAAATCCAATGAAAAACCTCTCGCTCCAGTAGCAATGCTCTGCAAAGCACCAATCGCTGAACGCGATATTTATATCGGAACGTATTGTTGCTACCCCAAACCCATAACCCCGTGAGCTCTAGATTAAGCACGTACATAGGTATAGGTGCAATGCATTTCGCGTACCACCGCCAGCTTGAGCAGCAACACGAGTGGCGGCAGCAACGGGCGAGTACGTGCCATCACCTCCACGAACTTTTCACCTCTCTCCGATATTGCAGAAGATATACAGAGATAGACTCGAGGCGTCGTCGCCGTAGCCGACGCCGCCGACGACGTTGAATATTCACGAAAGGGGTTCGTTGTACTTCGTCAGAAGGTGATTTTCTCTCTCGCTCTCACCCTATATCGAGCCTTCGCGTACCCCCCGTTCGACTTTAATTAGAGCGCAGTGTGCTATTGTACTATACAAACCTAATATATAAAGTCCCTGTATGCAGGAAGCTTCAGTCATTGCAGAGATCTCAACTCGACTGGACCGAAGCAGAGACTTTGATGTGACAGGCTCCGGTGCTTTTCTGGGTTAATGCGTGCCTCTCCTATATATAAGTCCGTCTATTTGTATCGCTCAAAAAGTGCTGTGCGCGCGCGACTCTTTAGAGGATAAAAAATCGTTTGTATATCGCTTGCCGCCTTTTCGTATTATAATGATATACTTTTGTGGCGTTGTCACGCGCACTTTTAGGGCCAAGTAGATACGCGCGTCTCTTTGATGTCGATTCGAAAGAGTATCTGTGTGGTCCAGATGGCATTTGGAGCTTGAAAAGCCAAATAGAGCGATCGACTGGTGCTTCTCCGAGTATGGACGTGCATTTTTAGTTTTTCACACTTGACGGGATCGATGATTTTGCTGCGCTGTTGTTCTCAACGCCCGAGATCGTTTAAAACCTGGAACAAACGTTTCCAATTTAAAAAGGTGAGCCGCCATTCCCAGATTTTTTGCCTTTAAAAATAATCTCACGGAAGAATTTTTAGTTAACCTTTGGAAGAGATTCATTAATAACCAACGTATGTACTTTTTCGAGTATTGTATTGATTATTATTATTAAAATTATTAAAAACTGTGAGCAAAAAGTATTGTCTCTGGAGAAAAAACAATATGAGTGTTTGAGAAAGACCTCCTGTAGTTTTTTTCATTTTGCAGCCGGTCTTTGTGTATCGAAGAAATCGCCAAGCCAGATTTTACTTCCTAACGTCCGATACGAAATGCCATTATTTCTTCTCAACCAGTTGAATATGAAATTCAAGTACCTATAAGATATACTTTATAGCGTGCTTACACTCATATTGCAGTGCTATGAAGCGGAAATCTGTATACATACTCTGTTTGTAAAGATTTTTTTATCCTCCATAACCACGACTGCGCTCATGTTCGTTTCTGAATATTTCATTTGGTATCCAGATAAATCGCGCGTGCAGTAGTCCCGGATGTGCAGGTGGCCTTTTTATACTGCATCGTCTTCTTCTTCTTCTTCTTCTTCTTCTACTACCACTACTTCTTGTTGTTTGACGATACTCTGTGATATATCTCGAGTCACCCTTTTCTATTGTCGTTGTATACCACGCGCACTTTGACGTCATCGCGCATTTATACAGGAATCTTTCATCGTCCATTCGAAAAGTTTGCTTTGTATAGATGCATGCATGAATACTTATTTTTCAAGGAAGTCATTTTTGCGTGACGTTAAATTTTAGATTGAGATTAATCATATTTATGCATTTGCTGCCTAAAATGCAAATTTTTACCGACAAATTAAATCGAGCTCAAAGCATGAATAGATGAATGAAATGTAATTTATCGAATTATTTTGAAATTTCGAACAGATCTAAAAATTCTTCACGTTATTGGCGGTAGCAAATAAAGGAAAGGGACTTCCGAAATTTAATTTCATACAGAAGTAACCACACGAACGTGCATTCATTGATGTTTTCCAGAAACTCTGTATTCTAAACACGTGCAGAGGCAGGATATCAGACGCGAGCACAATTTCCAAAATGCGTTGCAGGCAGTACTCGATCGCATTTCCAATCGGCTAATCGCCCTGCACATCCCATCATACACATTAGTTGTAAATGACTCAAGGTGAAATTTCTGTTGGCACGTTTTAGTACATACGTATAAGAAAACAGAATAGAAGGAAAAAATATCGATTGCGAACAACCCTCCTTGGCAGTTTCCGCCGCCCTGTCTGTGGCGCGCATACGTACAAGAAATCGTATGCCTTATGCGTATGTGTATATTACTTTGGTGTACTGCGTACAATGGAAAAAAGAAACTGCAGCGCGGGGTTGCGCGCGCGAATATTTCGTTGTAAGTCTCACGTGTCTCAGCACGAGCTAATACCACTCCCCTCGAATACGTACACGCACGTATATATCCAGATACACACAGAGCTATACATACATGTGTATGCATATTCTACCAGGACCAGACGCTTCAAATGAATAAATATATGTCTGCAGTCTCGGACGTTGAGATTCTTTTTTGGCTCTCGTGCGCTTGCAAGGGAATTTCCAAGGCAAAAAGCTGAGTTCGTACGTTGGCCGATAAAGCGACGTTCTACTCTCGAAACTCATTGATTTCTCTTATCACTAACCAATTTACTGTTATTTTATTATCTATTAAACAAAAGATTACGACTGATCGGTCCGTAGTCAGTTATTGATAAACAGAAATTTTAACATCATCCGAATGGACTTTATTTTTTTCTATTTCAATACCTATTTAATAACAAAATTCTTTCGATTCATTCAATTCGAGAATCCAATGTTTTTTAAATTATTCAAAAACATTAGCTGCATTACATAAAGGTATAATGATTTAAACCTTCTCGTGGAAAGAAAATGTAAGTCTCTGTAAAAATTATTACGATTTCTTATTCTCTTGAGTTGTTTGAACTATCGTAAAGGTAACTGTGTCACACGATGTAATAAAGCAGGCTGTGTACATATTAAAAGTTACATAAAATAAGTCCACTGCGAAGTTAACAAACAATTTTGATTCGACGTTTCAGAAAAATTTACTTTTTGCAATTATTTTAACTTTTATATTTTTCATTTTAACATCACTTTATATTGAGCTTAAATCATCGTTGTAAATTAAAAGAGAAGAGACGAGAAAATTATTAAAAAAAAAAAAAAACAACAAAGCAACGGCTAATCCTTGATTTTGGCGGTTAAGGCTAAAAGCCAAAAAACTGGTACCTCTGCTAGTCATGTAAAGTAAAG